GTTTTATGAAACTATTGAATGGGTTAAAGCTTTTTATGTTGTGCTTGTGTAATGTTCTGTGAAAAACAAAGACTTATTTAAGGTCAAAACAGGTTCTTTAAGTGCAGTGGTTTTTGGAGGTATAGATAGATCAGCAGTTTTTCACAAGGAAGGAAAGTAAACTTTCCCCTAAAAATGTGTATACTGGCATTCTGAATCAAGTCATGCAAGCTCTTCTGAGTGTTTTCTTAAGCATATTTTATCTCTAAAACAAAACGTGAAATCATAGAAAAACAAAAAATGGAATTAAGGCAGAATAACAGGCTGAAAAACTGACAGCAAGCAAAAATCTTTGCTTAAAATGAACAGAGCTTCAGACTTTCAATGAGTTTTCATTATAAATAAAATAAGAACATAGCTAACGTTTTCCACAAGTTTTTTTTTTTTTTTGCCAAGGTCGGAGAGCCTCCTATCAGGTCTGGACAGTCAGTAATTTTTTCCAGCAGGGAAAACAGTTTTCTGCAGAGCTGAGGACTTTATGTCGGCTTAACGCTGTTAAACCTGCAATCCCTGCAGACAAACAGCTATGTTTAAACCTAACACTGCTGACCCACAAAAATGCACACTTTCATACACATACTAGATTTATCCAATTTATTGACAGTTAAGACTGACAAACCAATTTAGATTAAATTACAAGAAACAAATTATTTTGTTTAGTATAACAAATCTGTTTTGACCCCTGCAAGAATTTATTTAAATTTTTTTGACTGTAAAACAATGATTTAGAATTAACTATTACCCTTACTTTCAGTTCACTTATTCCTTTCTTGGTTAAAAGAAACCTATTTTATTTTATTTTAAGTGATTGAATCATTTGTCAAACCAGTATGATCACACTTTAAACTCTACAAATACATAGCATAATCATTAGATCATATTGTTTGGTCTGATCCATATTATGAACAAACAAATCAATATATTTACTTGCAAAGCAAACAAGCATAAATGGCTAGACCTAAAAGTTACTAAATGCTGTGAAGTATTGATAATTGCTTTAATTTTAATGCACAATTGTCTTTTAAAATTGTTATGTAACTATTGTTTAGGGACAATGCATGTTAACCTTACAGTACAGTAGCCAAAAAGCTAGTTGTAATCTGTATTCCTTGGCCAGATGTGAAACAGGCACCCTAAAAAAAAAAATAAAATCAAGTAAATCAACCATCACATGCACAATCTCACACATCACAGACCCCAACATGTTATTTTTGGAACAAAGAAAATACAAACTTAAAAAGATGTCCTAAGTACACTCCATTGCATGGTTAGACTGAGAACATCTGCCAATATGCTTTGGTCTAGCCATCCAGGCAAGTTGATCTTGAAAGCAGACCACAGATACTAAAACAAGTCTTCAAACATTTAACCTTTAGGGGACCTACAGCTTTCACCTGCTGGTGTGCCTTTAGATGTGGATGCCCGAACATTCAGAAAGAGAATATAGAACTTTAACTGATATATGAGCTCTGAAAGGAGGTCAGTTGTTCTCTGTAAGATAAACATTAATGCCAGACTAATGTGAACCAAAGAGAACTTCTTTGGACAGCTCAGTCTAATATTGAATTATTTGGGCAGAGGAACAAAGGAGACATTTGGAGCAGACCAAAAATAACACTCTATGAAAATAACCTCATACCAGCTGTGAACTATAGAGTTGTAATTATTTAGTTTGGGTACCCTTTACTGCAGCAGGAACTGGCGAGCTCACAGTCATACAATCCACCATGAATTCTACCACCTGGAATTTAAAATATCTTCTTGGTCTGAGTTCATACAAAGCAGACTAGGAGCAGAAATAGAGAAAATATCCAAAAAATCTAAAGTTTGATCTTATTATTGAAAGTTATGGATGCTCTGTGTCTTAGGACAAAGATTAAAGCTGGCTCTAAGTGCAGATTTTAAAAGCCAGCATCCATGATGGTATATGGGTCCATTTGTGCTGCGGTTCAAAATCCTTTTTTCTTCATGTTTTGTCACTAAGAGAGTTAAAGTTACAGCTTTAACTTATAGCTGTCTCCCTTAACCCATTATAGCTTTCTCTGACACTTTTTTTTAGTAATTAGTTCATAAACTAAAGCTGTGATTACTATTTGTTATTTTACTCCTTCTGACCTCTGTAAGAGCATATCGCTGAGGAGATTCTAAAGCTGTAGGTCTGAAAAAGGTGTTATCTATTTTTGACGTTTCAGCTATTCTGTCCAATTTTAACATAACCAAAAGATAACCTGAATGCGTAAGTATAGAAAGCTGGTAAAAACTGTGAAAAACTACTTCTATAGAAGTGTGAACAGTAAATGAACATAAGTTATAGTACAATTCCTTCCACCAAATATGATTCAAAATTGTATACAATATTGGCTAGCAACAAGGCATAAAATATTCCCAGCAAACAGAACAGGAGGTTTCCTTCTAATACTTGTAGAAAAAGGACAGTTCAGCGCTGCAGAAAGCGTTGCCTTTAGAAGCTAAACAGCTGATATTCCTTGTGCAACATTTAGTACAGTTAAAGTTAAAATGAGTATAAGTAGCCACTAACCCCAGGCTCACACCGACTCCGGTCTTACCGTTGCGGTGCGGTGGGTGCGGCGCCGCAGTGATTCCAAGTCATTAAAAAGACGTAAACCTCTCTCACTGGCTGCTGAGCTGTCTGGCTGCGGTTACCGAGACACTCCGGCGCTGCAGAAAATTCCGCAAGAAAGCTATCCTTGCGGCGTGCCGGAGCCCTCCGCAACAAGCTCTCGCAAATATCCTTATTTGGGCCGTGTTATCGCGTGAAGTTACGTGAACTCAAGTGAACTTCTGTTAAATCTCCGGACCTGTTGCCCGAGCCGCAGAGCCACACCGCACCGCAGTCAAAAGGGCGGTGTGAGAGGGGGTGTGCGGGAGTTGCAGTCTCCGTCGGCTCGGTAACCGCACCGGAGCCAGTGTGAGCAAGGGGTTAGGCTACCGTAAAGCCATTTACACAAATAGGTCATGTTTCTGGTCATAGTTCCTTCCTAACTGTTCAGATATGTGCACCTATTATGGCAACCACGGACGTACTTCCGCATTAGCTTAGATGTCCATACCAATTGGAGTTATTCGGCAAGTACACCTCGCTGTAGAACTCGTGTTCGGATGGAGCCATTGATTGTTATATTTCATGTGGACCAACACCTGTGATGTCGCAAGTCTATAAGAAACAAGGAGTACAGAGGTTCCTGCCTGGGATTTTACTATGTATATTAGGAAGTGCAATTAATCACCTTCATTTTGTTTTTTTATTTGACGTGTTAAAAAAGGTTAACTGATAACAAAAATAACGAGTTGAAATCCTTGGCCTAAAAAAAGACCTAAATGTCTGGTCTAAACAAACTCAAGAACAGGTGATCAACGAAGGAAGCAAGGAATAGTTACAAAGCCATTTCTAATGGTTTGGAGCTCCCAAAAAAGAAAAAAAAATAATAATTACTTATTATTATCTAAAATGGGGACAGACGTAGTTCTATTTAGAATAACTTGGACATCTTGGAATTAATGCTACAACCATGATTTTGTTTTTTTGTAGAAAAACTTGAAGGATATTGTTGAGTAATCAGTTTGTGACCCTGTAACCTGGGATCAAAAACCCCTCATGGAGTTGTGGTGGTGATACCATGTTGATCCCGAGTTTGAATCCCATCCTGCATACAGTTGCTCAATGTGATTCCTGCTTCTATCTGCAAGGGTTTCCTGTCTAGCAACTGTTAAAATACAGGCCTCTAGAGCCGAAATGGAAAAAAACATAACAGTTACGGTATGAGGTTTGAAGGCCAATTACTTACTAAGACTTAATCTTAGAGACTTAGACAAACTTAATTATTATGTATACACAGAGTCGATTCATACAGCTTTTTAACATTGAATGAGCAGCTTACAACAATGAAATTAACTTTTCCATTTATAAAGTACAGCAGTGATCAGAATGTAAATAGTGTAGGAGAAAAGGAACCAGTTTAGATACATGGTGCAAAAGGCACTGATATGGAAAGGTTCTACATTGGTTTGTATGTTTTTTTTTTCTTTTTCTATTAATTTCATTCTGATCGGAAAACCTGTTTGTACAAATAGTGCAAGCTTTTTGAGTCACAGCCCAAGTGATGTACTTCACAGCTCCTAAATAAAAACAATATGATACTTAACCTGTCTATGTTGCTGGGTAAAAAGTCAATGTTACATTTCATTAAAGAAACCTCTTCTTTTAAACAGTATCCAAATAGTATATGGGGTTTCATTCCCCAAATATGCTGCGGTTTAAATCTCCTGAATTTACCATAGACCAGTATTATTTGGAAATATCATATCCTTTATGAGCTGAGACCATGACAGCTCTCCCACTGAGCTATCGCACACATCAAAACACAGACTTTCATTTGGACACTCTCTTTGTTTAGAGTATTTTTTCCTTTAACTGTGTCCCACACTCAGTCATTACTGCCACGCAGCTGCCTTAATAATATGGTGTTTTTCACCATCTTTTTGTTTGCCTGTTTTTTTTACCTCAACAATCCATCTTTGGTTCTTATTTTTTTTGTCAGGTTTACAATCGTTCTCTTTTATATTCTCTTTCGCTTTTGTCCTTCGGGCTCCCTGTGTTGGCTGTATTCTTCAATTACCTCTTGTAAAATGCAGAACTTTTATTGATATGGCTGTGCTGAGAGAGGGAGAAATTGATGCATAAAAGCAGACCATCCAAATGGCCTTTCTGTTCTTCTTGAGAATTGTTTTTCCCGCAGACCTTTTTTTTTTCAGTCTTAGTGAAGTTTAGCTGAAAAGCACCCTGTGCTTCTTTCTTGAAAATTGAAAAGCTTTTAGTTTAGGTTTTGGAGACTATTCAGTTTCAATAAGCTGAACTCCGTCACCCGGTTTTCACCCCTCTTCTCACATCATCAATGCATCACACCTGATCTGCAGCATCTCTTTCTTTTTCCCTCCCGTAGAGAGATGAGCTGTCTCCTGTGCGTGGCATGGTCTTAGAGAGCGGGAAAGAGCAGCTCATGTTTGAGGTTCCCCTCAATGACACCGGCTCGGCAGGACTTGGCGTCAGTCTGAAAGGGAACAAGTCCAGGGAGACGGGGGAGGATCTGGGAATCTTCATCAAATCCATCATTCATGGAGGAGCTGCGTACAAGGTGACATAAAGTTAACCAAAACTCCATTTAAAACAGCTCAATTGTTTCTTAATATAAAGTTCCTTATAACAGTACTGTTTATTTGTAAAACCGCACATCTTGGAAAATATTTTCATATTTTGTCTTATAGCAGCCACACACTTCAATGTATTTTATAGTCATCTAATGATAGACTAGCAAAAATATAATGCATAATTGTAGTCTAAGTATAATAAAAAAAAAATAAAAACTTCTTTGATAATTTTAATACCTGCAGCTGTAATTGTTCATGCTACTAAACAATCTAACTTTATGGTGACGATAAAAATGAAATCTGCTTTCTGCTCCTTACTCTCTCTTTCCAATTTTCTTTCATTTGTTATTCTTGCACATTAAATCCCAATTAAGTACAAATGAAGTTTGCATTGTGCCAAAACTTTCAAGGTAACGCGCTTGACCTCTCTAGTTTACTGAATCAAACCAATTACAGTGATAAATGTGGTTTATCTCATGGTTCATCGCTTGCATTCATTTTGACTTCATGGCTTAAAGGATCAAAGCGTAACAGCATGGAGATAAACAGCAGAAAATAAAGATTAGACAACCAGATGGTCTCGCTGGGTTACTTCAAATGTTTATTCCTTCCTGTGGCTCCTTCTTCACCTCTGACCTTTTCCTCATCATGAAGCAACCGATACGTCTTGGACAGCTGAGAAAAACACGCAAGCTAATTTAGTCCAAAGACTCTGGCTGGAGCGGTTTGTAACACAGACCTTATAGGAAAAGTTAAAAAGTTTGATGATCAATGTTTGAGGGACATCCAGCAGCGGTAGTCGCTGCATTAGTACCCCTTTCACACTGATCGAAAAAAGTCGTTTAAACCCAAGAACAATCAGCTTTTAGTGACAGCGGGAAAAGCTCACGACTCAACGACTCGGCAAGCGACCCGCGATAAAATTGTCTCGGAAAACCACAGCCGAGTTGACCCGTTAAATTATCTGACACCATTGAACGCAGCGTACGGACGTCAACACACCACACCAGACACTTCTGATCTAGCAAGCTGAAACAAGTCTGTTTGCATTCTATAAACATGAAGCAGCACTGCTGAGAAGGATTCGGACAGATAAAAGAGTGAAACGATAAAACGCATTGACTTCCTTACATGTTGCTCTACATAGTTTACTTCCTTGATTTCTGTTGCACTGGTAACATCATCACAGTTAACCCAGCATGATGGTGTCACCAGGAACGCAGCTGCAGGGGGACAGAGGCCACACAGCTTGCCAGCGAGGGGTTAGACACAGCTTTTTTTGCCAATGGGAAGAGAGCCAAATGCCGATTATTAGCAGGATGACACATGTTTAAAAAAAAAAAAATCAGTTTTAACGCATTAGGAAAGAGGCTTTACTTTGGGCATGATTGGATTGGTGTGTTGATGAGTACAGTATAGTCTGCCATGCGATCGTAAGGTTTCGATTTTTAGTGTTTTGGCTTTTATGATGTTTATGTTCTTAAATCTTTTATTGTTAATGAGATATGTAAAATTAAATGTGTGTTTACAGGACGGGCGGCTACACATCAATGACCAGCTCATCGCTGTAAATGGAGAGTCGCTGCTAGGACGCTCCAACCATGCTGCCATGGAGACGCTCCGACGGTCGATGTCGCAGGAGGGAAACGTCAGAGGAATGATTCAGTTGGTGGTGCTGAGGACTTTAAAGGTATTTTTTACAGTTTCTCCGTGGTTACTGCCATTCCCGGCTTATTAACTAATTACTCAGTGAGAAATCATCTGGAGCAAATTGAATCATCTACAATATAAATAAATAAAACAGATGCAATATTTAGTTATTATAGCTACAAATATAAATGACAGCTCCTAACGTCCAAGTTCATGTATTGTCAAATAATTCGACATTTCTTTGCTGTAGGTATATATATCAATTAGACAATTGTTGTAATATATAACTATATCTTAAATTTAGGTTTTAACATAACATTGTTATTTTGTATTAACAACGCCTACAATTGTAACATAATGTTATTACTATAATACATATAATCCATATTTAAAAACATACACACGTACAGACAGGCAGACAGACATACATAAATAATTGAATATATGTGTGCACATAGAGTTATATATTAATCGATATTTTACACCACCATGTTTTGAGGCCTAACTATTTATTTGTACCTTGAGTTATATAAATATATTTGGACATTGATTAGAAATAAACCCAGTTCTAAAGTTTCAGATAAAACTCAGACACTGATCTTTGTAAAGAGATCTGTTTTTTTACAGCAAGTTAAGTAGGGCCCAATTAATGAGCCATATGATGTGTTAAGTGCACTATATTCTAAAAAATGATTAATAATTGAGATGCTTTTAGAAACTTGTATTTTCTAAGGTTGAATCGTAGCTTGGATTATTATCAGTAGTCTTTCATAAAATCCAGGGATTTTATGTCTGACACAGGAGCTCTACCAACACCATCTTTGTTATTCATTTCAATTTGAAATATTAAAGATTTGATATGGAAATTTAAAAGTCGTAACTTTGGAAAACAATGGAGTGCTATGATCCAACACTAGGTGAAAAGTTGCACATTTGATTTTTTGCATTTTAAATGTTTAATATATTTTTTATTCAGTTTTATAAGAAAATATTAGAATTTTTGCTCAATAGCTTCTAGGTCTATTGACTCAAAATCTGTGTTGGATCATAGTACCATAAACCTTCCTCCCCAGAGTCATTTTAACATTACCGGCTGCAGTCAGACGACCAAGTGGACATAGACGAAGGATAAAAAAAAAGGGCAGACGAAAATCCTTTGGGTACAAAAATCAGTTAGAAAAGTTACAGGAATAAATAAATCATTGTTTCAGAAATAGAAGGATGTTAAAATAAATTGAAAATAAACATTTATGGTGGAGTAAAACAAGTTTTTAAAATGTTGCGGTGTAAATCACTATGAAGCAAAAATAAAAACATCTTTTAAAAATGTTGGTGTGAATAAATATGAAACATTAAAAATGGTTGCAGTGGTAATACCGAACAAAAGCAGCCCACTTGCAATAATTTCAAGAAAATGTATGACAGAAAATAAGGTGGTTAAAAATAAGTCAGCATAAATGCAAGAAAAAAAGTAAAAAAAAAAGTGAAAGTTAAAAATATATATTTTTTAAATGAATAATTGATCAGTTGGTTGAAGAAATGTTTATTTTTATTATTTGTCACATTTAATGGCACCCAAATTCATATTATTAGGTACTTTTTCAAGCAATTTTATATTATTAACTCCTTCATTTATTTCCGTATGTGTTTTTAAGTATGGCAGGATTGGTCCTCCATAGAAAGCACTTATAACGGTGACTGCTGATGTTCTTCAGCTTTGCTCCTTAAACGATTCAATGATTTCGGATGGAACTGATGACTTTATCCAATCAGAGTTTTCTTAAACAAAAAACTTTGAACCCAACTGGTCTGCATCATTTTATAAAATTTTCTCTGTGATGACATGAATTATTATTGATCTTTAGAAATAAACTGAATTCAATAAAAGAGGTTAAAAAGGTTTAGAAATTGTTCCTTTTTTTCTGTCTGACATTTACAATGACAACCAGATTGTTTTATTATCTCAAAAGAAGAAAAGCAGCTAAAGCAAGTTGTGAATAATTATAAAAGTATAAAGATAAGGATTAGCTGTTTTGAATATTATTGTATTATATTTTATCTATCATTGCAAATTATAAACAGGAGTGACTTTATGAAATGAAATGATGATCAGCATTAAAAAGATTAGGACTATCCATTACCAAAAATGAGGAATTACTTTCTTCTCTTGCTGACTCTCTTTCCCAGTAAATAGCATATTGTGTATTTTTAAAGTCAATTTGATCCACCACTTTCTACGCCTGCCTTTTAGCCTTTCTATCCATTCTTCAGGCTCTTTACACTAGCCTCTGTGCTACCAGCATCAGCAGCGAAAAGAGCATTTACATGTCAGCTTTTCAGATTTCTTGTCTGAGGTCTTCTTTTTAAGAGTGTTCTTGACTCAGGTGTCTTTTTTTTGAGTTGAAAGAAAAAGGCTTTTATTCTCATCTGCTTTTCATTTGAAGCCTTTTTACAAGGCCATGCAGTCTGTTTGCAGAAACCTCCTGCTCATATTCAGTCAGGTGAATTGCTTTATCACAGGACTGGCTGCGAAAATACTGAAACCAGAGTGTTCATATGTGTAATCAGAAATACAAAGAGAGACCAGAGTTGAGTTGCATGGGATAAAACTTTTACCGGTTGCCTATCAGTTCGATTTTTATTCTTTTATTTCTTTTTTTGTCTCACTTAATTGTGCTGGAGATCAAATTCTCAAACTGATGGCCTCATATGTTCCCTCAGATATAAAAAAAACTAACTAAAAAAAACTGAATGTTGGAACCATAACTATACAGTCATGTTTTTATTTTATTTTATTTTTTTATCAATGCTTAGCTGCTTAGGATGCACTTTAAAAAATGAAAAATCTAGAGAGCTGTACTTATCAAAATTTCTTTTTATATACACTTGTGTTTACAAAATGACTACCGTAATTTTCTGACTATTAGCCGCACCTGAATATAAGCCGCAGAAGCTAAATTGCACGATATGTACATATACAAGCCGCACCGACTATAAGCCGCAGGTTTTTTATGTTTAATGTCCGCCTCTCGCTGTCTTTCTCTCTCATACCACTCGCGGTAGAAGTCTGCTTCCAGAGGACCTCCACATTCCCCCGCGCGCGGCTACCGTACTTGGGTTTTGAAGCAAATGTGACGTCAACATGGTGGACGGTAAAATCCATAGATTTAGGTATTACGCTAGAAGCCGTTAGCTGTAAAAGTCTATAGATAAGCCGCATTGTTATGTAAGCTGCAAGGTCGGAAAATGGGGAAAAAGTCGCGGCTTATAGTCACGGTAAATAAAATCTAAGTCAGATTTAACATGTATTGAGGCTTCAAAGAAGCTCCAAACTACAACAATATCATAGCAAAAATGTTATCTAATCTAATTGTTTTCCTAAACAAGTGTCTGATTTGAAACCTCAGAGTTCTAACAATCTATTGACTTCAAGGAGTAGCGGCGAGAGCATTTATCATTCAAGAAAAATCTAAATGCACCGTAACACAGGTTAATGAGAGAACCGGGGAGGAGGCCAACGGGATGTCCACCAAACTGAAGGATGACGTGTCTTGAAGAGACTAGCCAGTGATGCTCAGTGCCAGGTAAAGAGTGGGATGACAGAGAGGATTTATCACACACACGCACACTAATTCACTTCTTTGTTGTTCGAGATGAGAGCTTATCCAACACAGAGGAACACAAAGACATTGTTTTACAAATTCAAAATGACACAAAGATGGATGCATATTAATGAGTATGTACATCAGCTTCTCTAAACACACAGAGGATAAATAAATGCAAATTAAATCCCTAAAGAAATTCTTAGAAAAGACACATCAAGATTGTAATCCATTCTTTGTTTGAGTATTAGTGGGTGGGGGCTCAGATGGGTCTTCGAGGAGGAGAAAGGTGTCGGTATGATGGGTAGTGCCACACAAACACTGAAAAGTGAAGCACCATTGAAGTTGCTTCCAGCACAGTGGGGCGTGGGAAAAGGGTCCTCCACTGTCCTCTGGATGGTTAGAGAGCCCAGTCCGGTTTAAAAGGAAAACTAAACAAATCTATTTATTCATCTAATTAGAGATATAACTATCAGAACCGGTATTCGTACAGCTCTTCCATGCAGATACTGGTTTTTGATTATTCAGATTCTTTTTGAAAAATATAAAAAAAAATATACTCTTCCTGGCTTGAGCTGTTATTGGTTGTAACAGGTATGTGAGGGAGCAGTGATTGTTTTAAGAAGACGAAATGACCAGAGTTCCCATTTTAAACTGAATACACAAGTTATTTTAGGATTGAATGCACTGAACGTGGAAACATAGTTTAACAATAGTCTGTAAATTTCTTGGAGAATAAACGCTAACTCAGAATTTTAGTAAATGCTTTTATCATTTTAACATGGATAGATAAAAATTTAAAGCCCAGTGGGATGAAACTGTGTACTGTATATCCCATGGACCTTTTTCTTCCTCTCTTCCTTTTCTCTGTTTGACTATTTGAGCTGATGTAACGAGTAAATTTATCTGCTGTGAGATCAATAAGGTCAATCAATCAACCAAATAGATCAGCTTTGCAGTAATATGTTCGTCCTAACCTGTATCTGATAAAGTCTTGCTCTCTCTCGCTTATTTGCAGCCTGCAGAGCTGTGTTACAAAATCACCTTGTTCTAAATAGCTTTCTATTTTTATGGCTTGTATGAAAAATTTACTGACTCTGAAAGTATTATTCATTTAGGTCTTTTTTCACACCCCAATCAGTTGGTACTTGGTAGTACTTGGCGCTACGCACTCACTAACCCGAAAAAAAAAGTCAGAATCTTTATTGTCTCTGACTGATCAGTTGAAGGTCTGGGATGATCAAGCTGAAATGAAGACAGTTTCGGGCCTCAGTCTGAACACAATTTTCTTGGAGAACAAAATCCCTTAATCACAGATTTTGAACATAATGTTATGATCATTTATAGACTGTAATCACTTGTCATTTATAAAAAAAACCCAAAACATTAAGATGCAGTTATTACCATTTTTTAGCATTTCTTGTACTCAAAATTTGACCAGTATTTAGTAATCTTCTGTAATCACGGTTGTAAATGACCTGTACACTATTTATAGAGTCCATAATCAAGTCTGAGGACTCCAAAGCCCTTCACACTTCATTCACACACTGATGCTGATAAGCTGCACTGTATCCACAGCTGCCCTGGGACAGACTGACAGAGGGCCCTCCGTCTACCAACAGCACACAAAGTGGCTGAAATGTCCTGTCTAAGGATAAAACTCAGACAGACAGGGCAGGGTGATGGGATGATCCACTACTTCTTGTCCACCTCCTTCCTGATATACTCTACCGTGTCTGTCCATAACAAATATTGTTCCCTAAACCCTTAATATTATTTGTTGTGTTTCCTTTTAGGATCAATATGACGTTTCACCCAACCGCTCCTTCGACAGCTCATCTGGCCTGTCGGGACTTATCAGCCCAGCCAAAGGCCAAGCATCCGATTCTGTCCAGCCCCCACTGGTGTCCAACCCCATCTATTCCTGTAGTGGTGAGTGCAACTTTTAAAATGCCACACCTTCCTCTTCCACCTAATCAAAATACAAACCAGTTTATCTGATATTTCCTTTATTAAGATGTATCTCCTTCTTCCTCTTTTAACTATAGAAGCACATAAATGCTCTATGGACAAAGGACAAAATTTGCTATTCCAACAAAAAAAAAGGAAAAAAATCCCTTCTCCACGATATAAGAACATTTTAAAAAAAAACTTTAGATAAAACATAACAATTGATGAAAGGTTTCACAAACTTGTAGAAATTCACACAACCAAAGGTTTGAAAGTTAAGTTAATCTTAAAGCTGCACAGAAAAAAACTTTGGATTTGTACCATATTCCAGCAGTGTCCCCACTTGATCCCTTTCTAAGAGATCAATTAATTTAGTTAAAATTGGAATAATTGGACTTTCCCATCAATTTTTATTTTTTTTTGTTGCAAGGTAGGTATGGTATGGTACAAACTGGCACTCCAGGGGAAGAAATTTCACATAAAGGTGATCAGCAACATCTAATGTCCAGTTGGAATATTAAAAGAATGTTTTCTTTTAGTGTATTTTTTTTAATCACAATCCAACGTAATTTCAGATAGAGTGAAACAAAATATGTTCTTGTATAGCATCTAGCTGCACAACTGATTTTTTTATTGAAAAAGTGCATGCAGGTTTTGGGCTTTTTTAAATGGCATTTCTTGTTTCCGTGTTTTATGCTGTATTTTGCTTGTGAAAGTTGTGTGTTGTTATGGTCATTACAACCATAAAACAGGGTTAAATTAGGGGCAAATAGACCCTTTTTATTATTTTTTTTAGACATTTTTATCTAAAAAAACGTATTGTCAGTTATGGTGTCTCACACCAGAGCAACCTGCAGTTGGAGCGCTGCTGTTCTTAAGCATGCATATATAACCCCGTTGTGAAAGTAATTTTAAATAAATTACAAAAGCTGTCTCATCATGCATAATACAACTCACACCAAACAGTAGACTAAAGTGACCCATGAGAACCACAGATGGGTCATGGATTTACATTTGACTTGGAATGTCCCATTGAGAATAAGCCATTGTCCTTAGATGCAGCATACAACTGCAAGTAGGTGAATTGACAAAGACTCCTCAATAGGTGTGGAAACATTTTCAGAATGACTGATTGAAAGCCGTTTCCTCCAGTTTAGGCTGTTTTGTGTTTGTACCTTGTTTGAGGATTGGTTAGCTTGATTCTTTAAACTGAGAACATGCTCCCTAGTGTTTACTGCTGGTCAAAGCACTTAAACAAATATTTTACTCAAACAAGCTCATGCTTTATTTGAAAAGCAGTTAATTATTTATCTGCATTTGAAGGCAGCATTTATTGCAAAATAAAAACAAAAAAACAAAACAGTTTTTGTTTAGTAATTATAGCCTCACCACAGGTTTGATTACAGTAATCTGCACCGATTATTGTTCTCCCGTTAATAAAGTCATCAGCGTCTCTGGGAGAAACATGATTGTACGTAAACCTGCATTCTTCTACTTCTTTTGCTGCCAATTGAAGCCACTGGAGAAGCCCTGCATGGGTTTGAAGTAATTGCCTGTTTCAGATACATACCCACAGTATAGATACACTCATATATATAATCTGAAATTTGTCTCTCTCCCTATTTGAAGAAGACCTTATGCTTCTTACTCATTATGGTGAATATTCAGCAATAAAACATGAATCTACTATAATTATAGGATAAAGTTGATAAGAGAAATAGAGCTTTGATTTTTTTCACAGCAAGGAAAGGATGATTATTATCATCAAATGGCAAAAAAAAAGTGTATCGTTCAGACAAATTTAAGAACATGCTATAGCAACTGCCTAAGCAACTGAATGCTTCAGCTGTGGCCACAAAACCATGACGCCACACCAAGCGATCAGCTGTTCCCTGACAGGTGGTGAAGAGATTGTGTTTTGGTTTTGCTGATGAATTTCTGCGGTTATCTTTAGAGGCATCAAGATATGCAGCAATGCATTGCTCTGAAGAGGGTATGGAGCTTTTTGAGTTGCCTTAAAGGAGGTCTAGAGCAGTGTTTGCCAACCTTTTTCACTTGTGTACCCCTTTGGGCATTTTATCCTACCATGAGTCCCACTCTCAGTCGAAAGTATTGATTATTGTCCAAAAGTGGAAAATACAATAACTGATTATAAAATAAAAACTATTCTACTTAAACTTTGCATTTGAGCATTTAATATTTAGGCATTTTATGCTTTACATCGCAAATAAAACCCAACATAAATATGTTGCCTGGAAGTTAGTAAGGAATTTAAATAAATACAAAATAAAATCATGTTATAAACCTTTATTTATGAAACCAGAGCTCCTCTGTGTAACTCCAGTATAATCACATATTTAAACTTGATGAATTGGGAACAAAATACAGAACAAAAATTATTGTCAGACTGACTTGATTAGTTTTACTATGTTTTCATCAAGATACCTGAGCTGCTTTGATGAGCTTTGATAGCTCAGTGTGAAAATCAGCTGATCCAAGGCTGTTTTCTACATCCAGTCTGTTCCTCTGCTTGGTTCGGATGTGTGTCACAGCTAAAGGTGAACTCAAACATAAAAGAAAAACGTACTTTTTGGCTGATAAAAGCTGTTTTGATTTTTCAATTTGATCCTGAGAAAGCAAAACAGATCCCAGCCCTATTTTATTTTACTACCTAATAAAAAAAATATTTTTATGTACTCCTTGCAATGCATTCCTGGACCACTAGGGTAACACATGCCCCCTGTTGGGAATCCCTGGTCTAGAGGATGGAATTTGAGAAGAAGACAATTCGTCGGCAATTTTATGAGTCTGACAGGAAGAGAGACGTGGTAACAAAGTAAAACCCAATTGCTTTGGGGGAAATACAAAATAAAATCGCTCAATGGATAACAGTCAGGTTTTGCCCCGTTTAGAATCACACAGTGCTTATTTAAAAGGTGGGGCACATAAACAATCAATAGAAGTTTTCAATAAACACAATACCTAACCCTTAATAGGAGTTTGAAAGGGCAGAAAATGGATACACTAAAATAGTGATCCTCTTTAAACCTTAAAAAAAAAAAAAATGATGAGGGACAGAACAAGACAGTGGAGCTTATCACTCTCCCCTCTTTATAATTTTTTTTTAAATCAAGAAACTCACAGATCTCTCTCTGAGAATCATCTCTCACTGCCTCAGCCAGCATATAAACCATCCCACAGCCTTTATTGCTGCATTTCCATTTTCTTTAAACACAGTTCCCATTTTATTTTTAGCATAGTAAAATCCTCTATCTGCTCTACTCTGAGAATGATGCGTTCGGATGGTCATGAAGTTAGGCCTGGCTTTGTTGTCGTGCTGCTGTTTTTTTTTTGTTTGTTTTTTTTTTTACGTCTTTTTCTTTAGAATAAAAAGTTTTCATAATCAGAGACATTCAAAGGCAGGACATAGTTTACATTTAGGACAGATGTGAAAGAATCTACATAGATGCGGACCTGCTCAGGCTGCTAGAAGAAGCCTCTCTATGCGCTGCAGTCAGTGCAACCATTGTGACCCTGGCTTTAGTGTTAGGACTGGATGATGATAATGGAAGAAGATGTTCCTACTGTACATTATTGTCCAATAATGTTTTGGTTAATATATGTTTTTATCATGTTTATTATATGCATAGATAGCTAGCATGCCATAGTAGTTTCTATAAATAGCTCCAGATGCGTATGTCAGCTGAGCCGTACCTGGGCCTGTTGAGTTTAAAAGCTTAATCGAGTCACTTAGACCTCGTCTTCTTAGTAGTCTAAAATGCTCTGCTTTAACACCTACTATTGTGAATATCTGTCGATCTCAGGTCACCATCTCACTCTTGTCTCTCTGTCATCACTATTGGCTCCTTCTAGCCCTCTATTTTCCTCGTCTGACGAGGCGTTGCAGCAGTTGCAGGACCTTTCCGTCGACAAGATTTTGTTCATCATCCGTTGAAATACCTTAATTTGACAAAGATTCATAAGTAGTTTTGTCGCTATACATATTCATTTCAGTCTGCATATCATATGAGTCTGGGGCCTCACTGTCCCAAACTTCAGTATGGTCAATCATGAGTCATCAGAATAGAAACGAGATCCTTGAAAGGGGTATAAATGTATTCACAAAAACTGAGCAAAACTCCTTTGATTGTCTTTGATTTAAAGCATGTTGCAGATTCAGGAGGCTTTGTCCGAGCCTGGTCTAGGCTTTGTCTCTACTAAAGGAGATATAAATTCAAATCAATTTCGTTGGTTTATACAATGCCAATTCACAAAACTTGTCACCTCAAGGCACTTTACAGAGAAAGAAATATTTAGCGATATGATGAGGAAAAAAGAAAACTACATTTTTTTTAAACAAGTACGCATTGTTTTGACTTTCTAGCTATTACGTTAATCCCTATTTTGAAGTGATTTATGTTAATTTGGACTGTGATGAATGGTGATGGTCTTAAACAAAGACTCCTATCTTATATGCACATTGTTTAATGGTTTACATTTTTAATTCCTTTGCTGCTTTTTAATGGTTGTTGAGTTGAAACTCTTAGTATTTGTCCATTGAAGGCATTAAGTGCTCGCCGTCGCACCTCCAGCTGCTTCATTTCCTGTATTGTCTCTCTCTAACACTCATGTGTTCTTGTATTTTTCATGTTGTGGTAAATATACATGTCTTTCCAACAGTGAGTGAACAGAACAGATTCCAATAATATTAGTCAAGTGTTTTTAAAACAACAACACTTGTTTAGGCTTTAGTAAGCCCTGGTTGCAGTAAGACTTCGGGATATAAATGTAAATCAGCTTCCATCACTTGTGCAATCGTCATTGTTCTCTGTGCTCGTTTGTTTGAAAGTGTGCCTTTTTGTTTCCGAGTGATATCTCTGCTTGTTTAGAGCCGTGTTAGTCTCCGCTGCGTGTGGGTGTGTGCGTGTGGGTGTGTTGGTTCAGGGATTTTTGGCCAGTATCAGACACTGTTGGTTTTATTT